TTGAATTCATCACTTTTAAGTTTTAACCCATATATATAACTTTCAATATCAAAGAAGGGATTGAAAATCTAATAGAAAATGGAACAGGAGCTTAAAGGAAAGAACTTTGAATAACTCATTAATGTTGCAAGCTTGCAGATTGGAAGATAAAATAGTAAAGAAGGAAAAGGCATGGAGAGAATGTAAATAAATGAAAAAAAAGAACACACCTTTTAACTTCACAAATAAAATTAAAATGATAATATACATCTCATTTTTTTAAATTAACTTTTTTATATTTTAAATATATGCTAAAAGACGTGTTATTATTTTAATTTTGCTTATAAAATTAAAAAACTTTACTATTAGTTTATTTGATAATTTCTTTTATTTTTAAACCTAAACAAAACAAACACCCTGTTAAAATCATGGAAATTTAACATATATAAAGTCCTATATTTGTTTATATGTAATTATTTTTTTTTTTTTTTTTTGCGTTTTTGGAGATAATGAAATGATAATAAATCAAATGACGACATTAACAATGAAAATTCAAAATTTTCCTCAATAAAATGCAATTTTTTTTTTATGTCCTAAAGCAGACAGGTTTGGACGGGAGTATTCTAGAAACAAAATTATATGGTAGTATGGTAATTAAAATGAATTTTAATATTATAGGATCAAATTTGTATACTAAGAATTTTTTTTTTCTATGTGTGACAAGAGAAGAATCATGTATGTAGCCGAGTTAACTTAGGAAAGACAATTTTCGACTAACATGACCATCACAGGGCATAAATTAAGTTTCTTATCACATACTGACATTAACGAAATGTCAAACCAAATGCAATAAACAAGAAGAAGAACCCAAAAGGAAAAAAAGGACACAAGGGGAATCAAATTGTGCAAGCAAAAAAAAAAAAGTAGTTAATTAAAGAATTGTTGAGTGAAAACGACTTCAAACTTTATAAACCCTAAATTGCAGCTTGCAAGAGTATTCAATGAGAATGCTTTTATCGGAAAAATTTAATCATAAAGCATATTTTTCGACAAGAATATTCTCACTAGACTTAATCATAGTAAGTTTTAATATCACCATCAACAACAGTACAAGGCCAACGAGTATGATTCTTTAGTTACATTCCCGTCATTATTTGACTAATAAACATAACTATTATATCCAATTTTCCATAACAAAATACAAAGTAATTGTTTGAACCATTGACAACATTGTTGACAGCCTAACAAAAATACTAATTGATTGCTCCTCTTTGTAAAAGATTTTTTGATAATATAGATTGCAATAAACAGTTGAATCTCAATTTGTTCAAATTAACTTCAACACAAAGTCAGACAAATCAAGACCCTGGTTTGTTTATGGTCCCATTCTTTTCATGATTTAACTTTACCGTATATCCTCTTTAATAATATGATGAAAATAGACAGAATTGCACACTGCATTATGAACTGTAACGGGGACATGGAAAAATCATTTCAAACGAAGCAACTAAGGGGTAACTTCATGTTATTCAATCAGAACTGTGTCTGAAGATATTCCGCCACTTTCTTTTCCAGTTTGAAGGCTTTGGTAAGAACACCAGGATTGATAGGTGGGTTAGAGTCAAAGACTGCATTTGCAATAATGATAACACCAGGATTTTGGCTGCTGAGGCCAGCGAAAGCGATGGCATCAGTTTTCCCTATATTTAACTGGAAGTGAATGAGACCAACTGGGAAAACAAACACATCCCCTGTCTTCAGGACTTTGGTGAAGAAACGATTATCTGGGTTGGATGTCACAAAGCCAACATAAAGTTCACCCTTTATCACAACTAGGATCTCCGTGCCACGAGGGTGAGAGTGAGGAGGGTTTAGTCCACCATAAGGTGCATAATCAGTTCGAACCAGGGATATGCCAAGTGTGTTAAGTCCGGGTATTTGGTCAGCATTGACAGGAGTGACTTTTGATCCCACTGCATTTGATGTGTTTCCTGCTTTATCAAGCCCTGAAAAGAAGAAGTCATCTGCTGTGGCAAGCTTTGGGTCCTTGCAGAACTTCCCATTTACAAAATACTGGATTAAAAGAAAATGACGTTAGTTACTATAAATACAGTTTTCATTGTGTGGTTAGTATGATGAAAAACATTTCTTCTTAGCTGAATGCCTTTACTCCAGGCTTTGGCATAATAAACAACAACATGAACTGAATGCATACCGGCATTCTTGGGGCCATTGAGGGCTACGCAGAAATCCATGAGAGAGCTAGGGTCAGAGGCTGAGGCTAATGTGGAAGCCAAAGCCAGGAAAGCAAAAACTACGAGGAAATGGTTCACTCCTTTCATTTCGGATCGCTTTGCTCTATACTTCTAGTACTTATTTGCTATTTGCTCGAGGAGGGGATGAGGAATTTTACTTGGCATACAAGGACTATTTATAGATGAATAGCTTTTTATGCTGTTCTTTAAATATTCAAATATTTTTTTCAATTAACTTTGGTTCAATATTATTATTGTTTGTTAAATAATGAAATATCATAATTTGAAAATTAATAAGATGTGATGTATTTTAGACAAATGTCAAAAGATATATTTTGAAGGTAAACTACATTCTAAATCTTAGACTTTAAAATTGATAGTGAATATATTTTTAATATTTGAACTCTTTTTTAATTAAAATGAAATAATTTCGATGAACACTTAATTATATATCAAGTATAAGTCATACAAAAAATTTATTATTTAAACGATATTGTTATAAAATTATAATTTATAGAATTCTTACTATTGTTAATATTATTAGATCATATACTTTAATTTAAAATATTATGTACCTGAGAAAATAACTAATAGGTAAATTTTTTATGGTGTTTTTCAATAAATTTAGACTCATAATTTTTCTTTTTCATTTTAAAAATATTTTATGCCTGTTTTGTGTCTTTATGCTATGTTCACCAAGAATATTTCAGCTAGAGGTATATGTGACTTATTTTATCCAGACATTTATTTTTCATGAAATTCTTCCATTATGGATTCTGATTGGGGTAATTGGGATTTCTTTTGTCCAAAACTAGCATGAAAGGCCCGCTCCAATGGAAAGCAGTAGGTGAAGAAGACAAACGGGAACAAGTTAATCCCAAAAAACAAAAATGAAACCAACAAGAGAAAGACCATCAAAATAGTCAAATGAAGACTACAACAGGAAAGCAAGAACCAATGACAGAAGACCCAAGAATTTAGGCCCCAATTCTGATAAATAACTCGTACTAGAGGCTTATCAGCAACTTTCAATTAGTAAATAAAATTCTCTACATCAGGACAAACAAAGCTTCATCTTTGATACTTCTATCATTCCTTGGATTTATTTTGTTCAAATTTGAATAAGCAAGTCAGCAGAGGAAATATTCCTGCCATTCAAGTTTTAAGTAATAACTGTTTACTGAAATAGTAGAAGCATTTAGAACGTTTGCTCGTCTTGCTTTGAAACTAAAGGAATGGGTTTAAATTTGTTGAAAATTGGTCACTTGATCCATGTAGAACTTGTTGCTAGAAGCAAAGTATATGCAACTGTTGAGAAAATTCAAAGCCTACAGTTTTTTCCCCTCCTGGATGGCATACAGTTTAGTTGAAAATAGCAGTTGGCTCAGTAATGGTTCTTCCCACATAACTAGATGAACATTTCAATAATCATACAAATATTAGTCCTTTAATCATTTAGGCGTCAAGTCTGGGACATCCTATAAGTTAATGAACTAAGTAGGCAAGAAAATGTTTCAAAGATGTGGCAATAGAGCTAGCGGCTAACTTGTATGTATTAATCAAGAGAAAATAAAGATGGAGCAGTTGGTTAAATATTGGTAGGTGATGACGACATTGAACCTTGAATAAAAAAAACATAATGCTTGAACAAATTGCAACATCCAACACTAATGTCCATAGCCGACAATATTCCAAAATTTCTATTTTAATAACCCAAATCATGCTGTGTAGTCTTCCATTATTCTTAGACTTATCATAGCTTTTGTTTTAAGGAATGATTACTAGTAATTGTTTTATACAAATTTGATTTTTATCTTTTTATGTGTTAGATATCCTATGAAATAAATTTTCAGTCAGTTATGGCAGTTTCTATTTTACACAGGTTCTTATTAGTCAAATTTATATTACTATTTTACTAGTAAAATATAATTCAAAATGGATTTCCTATATATATATATATATATTTGAGTAAAAAAAAGGGCATTATTCTTAAATTCAAAGACATAATGCTCACTTGTTCATGACAGTAATTTTTTTTTTCAGTCATTATCATGATGGATAGAACTTTTCGATCAGACTTCGAGACTGTTCAGTGCAGAATGTATCATAAAAGTTTGCGGAAGGTTCTGTCGGTTGCCAAGTATAAATCTACTGAAACCATGTATACAGGAAAGGTTGTGTCAACTGTCAAATAAAAAAAAAGAGTCATTTGTTAACGATTGCTGTTTGTTATTGAAATGGTTGCTTATCATTTTGCAATAGTTATTTGGTGACAATATCAGTAGTAACTGCCCTCAAGAAAGGCCCTGAACTTGAAGCTGGGTAGATGGTTAATGACAAAATACTTGCTGCAGCAATGCCATGAGACTCACAGAAAGGTCAAGGTCCAGAATGTTTTCAGGTCCCTATGAAGATCAGTTGATTGACTCTTTAACAATATTCCATGCATTATTTGTAATCTTTTGGTTGGGGATTTTTCAGTTTTCAACTTTCTGAAACTATGATCAGATGTCTCTCTAAATCTTCCCAGCGGCACTGGATCTTTGGCTTCTTATTAACAAATTCAGTGTGTTCTGGATTCTGGCAATTAAGTTTGGAACTTTCCAAGATCTAAATTAAAGTATTCTCAGAAAGGGTGCTTTCAATGAGATCTAGATAAAGGTTGACATTAGCTCCTAATTTGGAGCAAACTGTAATAACTTAATATATCCAAAATCAACAAACAATTGGAGGATTACATCAGCAGAGATACATAAGTAACATTTTTATTTTTTATTTTATTTTACTTCAACAATAATTACTAAATAAATGATGGAAACATGTCAAAAATTGTTCAAATAAGTAACTGTTCCATGGACGTTGAAAATTGGTCTAATTGTTATCCCACCAGAATTTTGACTGAAGATATTTCACCACATTCTTGTCCAGCTGGAAGGCTTTGGCAAGAACATCAGGATTGATTGGTGGGTTTGAACCAAAGACTGCATTTGCAATGGTGATAACTCCTGGATTTTGGCTGCTGAGACCAGCAAAGGCAATGGCATTAGTGTTCCCTATATTGAATTGGAAATGAATGAGACCAACTGGAAAAACAAAAACATCTCCTGGGTATAAGACTTTGGTGATGAGACGGTTATCTGGGTTGGATGTAACAAAGCCGACATAGAGTGTGCCTTCTAGGACAACCAGGATCTCCGTGGCACGGGGATGAGTGTGAGGGGGGTTTAGCCCACCATAAGGTGCAAAGTCAATTCTTGCCAAAGATATGCCAAGAGTGTTGAGTCCTGCAACTTGTTCCACATTAACAGGAGTGACTTTTGATCCCAGTTGATTTGATGTGTTTCCCGGCATGTTCAGCCCTGAAAAGAAGAAGTCTTCTGCTTTGGCCAGCTTTGGGTCCTTGCAGAACTTCCCATTTACAAATACTGCATGAAAGAAAAAAATATTAGTTGATACCATGCCATGCAGAAAGAAAAGATTCTCTGTAGTTAAGTATGTTTCTGGAGAATATAGAAACACTGCATCGTTGCTGAATGTCTTAGTTCAGGCATCTATATCTATGCACCCAACTTATATATACAAATCAAAATAGAGAAATTAAGGGAAAACATACCAGCATTCTTTGTGTCATTGAGAGCTACACAAAAGTCCTGAAGAGGGCTGGGGTCAGAGGCAGAGGCAAATGAGGAAGCCAGAGCCAAGAAGAGAAAAGCTACAAGGAAATGAACACCTTTCATTGTAGCTAGGCTGGTTTCAGGCTTGATTTCTTAGTTTCTTGCTTGGGTAGGATGAGTAATCGCTCTTGAAAGCATGCCTATTTATAGGTTTGAGTCTTTGAACAAGTATTTACCTGTTTCTTATGGACTTACCAAGTCAGCAGCGACTTGGTTTTTGTTTCTCAATAAAATTTGAGGATGAATTATTCTTCAGCCACCATGCAAGTATATCAATTTTGAATCCCCATTTCCAATGCTTACATCACTACATTTTGACGTGGAAGTGGTCTTCTTGTGCATTCCAAATGTTTTCCTTGTTTCTGAACTTGGGTGTTGAATTAACTGAGCTACTCCGTTGACTTTAGCATAAATTGATAGTTACTGCAGGCTGCCAGCACTTCATCCAATTTAACTTGCAATTCAATTGAAGTTGACAGTTTCCCTTACAGAAACTTCTTTCTTAATTTTCATAGTATTTAAATTAAACATGCTGGCATTGCAGATGAGGCAGATGATACATGTAACTAGTCCATTGCACTTAACTGCAATTTACGCTACAAATTTTTGACGATTCAATCAATCACTTCTGTTGAGTAGCTCTGATAAAACTAATATGCTTGATTCTTTATTCAGAAAAAGAAAAATGTACTAAAACCAATATTATGGGTTTTTTTTTTTTGTTTCTTCTTCTTTTCCCACTTCACCATTGTCACCATTTGCAAGGGTTAGCAAACTTCAACTGGCCTCAATTAATTCAAATAGATTGTAAGACTGAATTAGTAGTAATGAAAAGAAATGAAAGTACCAAAAGGAAATTTTAATAACCAGCAAGGCAGATTCTATGAATAGTTTTTGTTCTCAGTTGACCAGGTTTATTTTAACATGTTCCTTGATACTCAATCATATGACATCTATGCTTATCACATTCAAAACATTATTAATTTCTTGCAAGTTCAATTAATAAACCATGCTAGACTGAAACATTCCAGTTCTTTTGAACACTTCAGTTATCCAAAAATGAATGGGGCTTGCTTTGAATTGATCTCTGATCTAATGCGCGAGAACTGTTTAAGAATTGTGGAAGACTCAAAGTAACTCTTACGGACATGTATACTCTTTGAGCATTGAGTTCAGTTGGTGATTTCTTTATTTAATCAACTTAACTAACCATTGAAGCAAATTATCAATGCCAAATGGAAAAAAGCCTTTCTTGACATTATGTATCCTTTGTAATCAATCTTTGTTTCAAAATGGCAGACTTATAGATATCGTTCATAAATTTATGTTATGATGATCTGGTCTAAGAAGAGTTTCATATTTTTTCATGACAGCTAATTTCTACTTAGTCATTAGATTAATAAAAAGCAAAGGTACATACGTGACAACCCAATCTCACATTGAGAGATTTTAAAAATCTATTATGATATATAAGTTGAAATTTAAATAAAAACTTATGAGATATTTTTTGTGAGATAAAATTATGAAACATTTAGATTAAAGTGGATAATATCTCACAAATTAGGTACGGATCTCTACAAATAATATTAAAGAGGTCACCAGTCGGATGGAAGCTAAGTGCTACATCATAAAAACCACACGATTTTGTCTCACAAAAAGTATCTTATAAGTTTGAGTTTAGATTTTGACATATACTAGTTTTATTCATTGTTAACCAAATTATAATTATAATATAATATAATATAATAATTTTGATATTTTATAATAATAAAATTGAAATAATTATCATCATATTAAATTAAATTAAAAATGTAAATTTAAGTTAAAAAAATAAATATAAAAAAAATTAAAATTAAAATTCCAATAAAAAATAAATATTTAATGTTTCTTTGTTTTGAATCTTTTTAGAAGTTTTCTTTTAAGTATTTTAGTGTTAAGTCATCATCTTCATTTTTTTTAATATTTTTCTTCTTTTTTTAAATTTTTTCGATTATAAAAGATTGTCTTCTATCACAATCAAATCAGATTTTGTACTTTCCTTCTTCTCTATTTTATGTTTTTTCTAGAGCTTTTTTAAGCTTTTTTAGTGGTAGATTTTTATCTTCAATTTTATAAATATTTTAGGCAATTGATCATTGCCGAACTCATTCAAACTATTACGTTTCATCTATTTACTATTGAAATTTTAAATTTGTTATTTTGATTTGAAACCAAATTGTTATAAAGTTTTTGTTACTTGAAATAAAGTAAATATATAATTTTTTTTTCATTATTAACTTCTATTTTTAACATGTACTTATTTATGTAATATAAATAATTTTGTAATTTCATTTTATAGTAAAAAATGCATACTTACATGAATTTTACTAATTAAAAATATTAATTTGTAAACATATTCTAAAAAAGGGATATGAAGTAATAAAAAACTATTAGTATCTCGATGTAATAATCAATGATGTTTATTTATGTATTTATATGAGATATTGACTAAAACTACTTTTAGTGTCAAATATTGATTTCTTAAAAAGCAATTAAATATACATAACTTACTAAAATATGTTATACTAAGAGTTTAAATAAAATTTTACTTAAAGGTATACCTTATCCTAATCAAATAGCTCTTTATGTTGTTCTTAAATGTTCAAATACTTTTTTCAATTAACTTTGGTTTAATATTATTATTGTTTGTTAAATAATGAAATATCATAATTTGAAAATTAATAAGATATGATCTATTTTAGGCAAATATCAAAAGATATATTTTGAAGGTAAATTACGTTTTAAATCTTAGACTTTAAAATTGATAGTGAATATATTTTTAATATTTGAACTATTTTTTAATTAAAATGGAATAATTTCGATGAACACTTAATTATATATCAAGTATAAGTCATACAAAAAATTTATTATGTAAAGGATATTGTTATAAAATTATAATTTATAGAATTCATACTATTGTTAAGATTATTAGATCATATACTTTAATTTAAAATATTATGTACTTGAGAAAATAACTAATAGGTAATTTTTCTATGGTGTTTTTCAATAAATTTAGACTCATTATTTTCTCTTTCATTTTAAAATATTTTTGATGACAAATTTTTTTTGTATGATTGCTATCAATGTTATAAATGATACCATAAAACACAACAATTTATTTTAGTAAAGATATAGCATTAATCTAGTTACTATTAACATATTATCAAATAGACAATCAATGACATGCAAATATAGATAAAGTTATGGCAAATTTTCACTTCAAAATTTAATTTTTTTAAATAAAAATATGTTGTTATAGTAATTGGTACATGAATATTATTTTAATTATTTATATATGTGTACAATATCCACAAATATTGTAACTCAATACCTTAGTATTAAATGGCAATTAATAAAATTTTTAAATGAATTAAATATGTTAGACATATTAAAAAATACAGCTCTATATCAATATTTAACCAAAAAAAAAATACTAAGTTAGTAATGATTTATTACTATATGTTATTGATGATTTGCTGCTAAGTTATATCATTAATTTATTATCAAAATATGAATAATTTACTATTAAGTTATCCAGACTTTATTATTAAGCTAAAATTGATTTACTAATAAGTTATCATTGATTTATTATTATCACTAATTTATAACTAAATTATAAGTGATTTAGCATTTAATTATCAATAAATTACGACTAAGTTAACTCTGATTTATTATTATAATTGATTTATTACTAAGTTTTACTTCACTCTTGCTAGTAACTGGAGTTCAATCCCTAAAACTTTAAATATAAAAAACTTATCATCGATGATAATTAAGTTATTATTAATTTATTACTATGTTATCAGTGATTTATTATTAAATTATTAATGATTTACTATTAAGTTATAATGATTTACTACTAAGTTATAAATGATTAATATTAAGTTATTAATAATTTATTATAAAATTGTAACTAATTTACTATAAAGTATCGATGATTTACTATAAAATTATTATTGATATATAACTAAGTTATAAGTGACTTATTATTATGTTATTAGTGATTTATTGCTAATTTAGTGATTTACTATTATATTATTATGCATTTACTAATTACCATTGATTTATTACTAAGTTTTTAACAGTTAGCTATTAAGTTATCAATTATTTACTATAAATTATCATTGAATTACTACTAAGTTATTTATGATATACTATTAATTTTATCAATTAATTACAATATATGAGATAATTTTCTTTTTATATAATATAACATTCTTGTTTTGTTCAAATTTATAATTTTTCACTAAATTTTTTTAATGAAAAAGTTCATGGTAGGTTTATCCTAATCCTTTTCTCTTTCTAGTAACCAAGGTTCAATCATTAATAACTTTAATTATAAAAGAAATGTTATCACTAATTAACAAATAAGTTACTACTCACTTACTACTACCTCATTACTGATTTACTACTAAATTATCATGATTTATCACTAAGTTATAAATGATTTATTACTAAGTTATAAATGATTTGTTACTAAGTTATTGATAATTTACTATTAAGGTATTAATAATTTATTATAATGTTATTATTGATTTACTGTAAAGTTATTAATAATTAAGTAATTTATAACTAAATTATCATTAATTTATAAATAAATTATCAATGAATTAAAACTAAATTATCAATGTTTACTATTATATTATTACGTGATGTACATACTAATTATCATAATTTACTACTAAATATAGTGATTTATTACTATGCTGTTATGCATTTCACTTTGGTTATCATCGCAGATTTATTTACTGAGTTCTAGTGATTTGCTATTAAATTATCATTGATATCTGTTAGTTATTTATGATTTACTATTAAAATTATAAATTTAATTACAATTAAACTAAAATAAATTTACTATGATGCTATCACTAATTTACTTACTAAATTTTCATTGATTTACTACTAAATTATCCAATGATTAACTATTAAGTTATCTTTTTTATTGAAGTTATATAATTTTACAACTGTGTTATTATGCATTGTACAATTAGTGTTATAATTGATTATTATTAGTTATTATGCTTTGACTATTATATTATTACTAATTTACTATTAAATTATAATTGATATACTATTAAGTTATATCTCTTATTTATTATACTAAATTATTATTAATTAACTATTAATTTACTAATAATTACTATTAAGTTATATTGATTTACTT